GAAGGAAAGAACTGACTCAGATTGACTCAGACTGGTGATCTTCTAACCTCCATATATACACTACAGCACCAGTACGCCCAAACAGATGCACACAAAATTAATAAATAAAATGTAAAAAGAAAACATAATATGTGAAATGGTGAATCCTGGCTTGTTCTTTTGATCAAGCAGCCTCCCTACACACAATTAGCCAGATTCTCATAAAGCAGTAAACAGTCCAGAGCCATCACTGGGATCACAGTCCAGAGCTGCTGATTCAATGCTCTCCCAGTCTGTGAGGACTCCCAAGCTGTTCCTGACTGGGTTGACACGTGGGGTCACTAGTTTTCCTGAGTATACTGACTGCATTCTTGACATGTAAGCTCTTTTCCAACTGACAGCCAATTTCTCTCCCAGAAGACCCTCAGACTCCCATACCACAGGACAGGATACAGTAGAAGGGTCAGGAGCAACCCAAACGGCTAGGAGGAATCAAGGAAAAGGTCACAGGAAGGCACTGAGCCTCAAAGACTGGCCTGATGGAGCAACAGGCCGTGAATGGAGTGGGGGTGGGCTGGGGGTGGCAGCAGGGAGTCTGCACCCTGTTCCAGGGATTGCAGATTCTGGGGTGAAGCTCCTCTCTTTAAGCAGAAGAGCCCCAAGCATCTGTCCTTTCCCATCCTGAGCTCTCCTGAGGTTCTGGGCTGGTGACAGGAGCTAAGAGAGGTCAAGGCATAGGAATGAGAGCCCCAAGATGTAGCAATACTATTTATTCACCAAGTCTAAGCTTTATTCCAAATACTGACATCACTAACCATACCAATCATACACGTGGCAAAACAACTGTGTGAACTGAGGGGTGGGGGGCGGGGTGTGAGACTAGAATTCTGTCTTGCTACAGGCAGGCCTGCTGGGCAGAAGGAGAGGCTAGCACACACACAGGATCAAGGAAAGAGCGGTGGAAAGCGTCAGTGGAGGCAAGGGCACACATAGAAAAACTGAACAAAACTCAAGACCATTTCCTTCCTGTGGGGATGTCAGGTCCCCACCCCTGCTCCACGCCGGCCTGTCAAAAGGAAGAACTGCAACTGGGGGATTACACGTCTGTTTCCTCCAGGCCAGAGGTCAAGACATTACCCTTACTCCTTCCCACCATCTACAGTGCCCAGCTGAGGACATTGCTTTTTCTTTTGTTTTTCTGTTGTTTGTTTTTCGAGACAAGGTTTCACTATGTGTAGCCTTGGTTGGCCTGGAACTTTCTATGTAGATCCGGCTAGCCTAGAACTCAAAGATCTGCCTCTGCTGGGATTAAAAGTGTGCACCACCATGCCCAGTCACTCATTCCTTCTTAAGAAGTGCTTTGAAGCCGGGCGATGGTGGCGCACGCCTTTAATCCCAGCACTCGGGAGGCAGAGGCAGGAGGATCTCTGTATGATCGAGGCCAGCCTGGTCTACAAAGTGAGTTCCAGGAAAGGCGCAAAACTACAGAGAAACCCTGTCTCGAAAAACCAACAAAAAAAAAAAAAAAAAAAAAAAGAAGTGCTTTGAGTGAGGAGGGAGGAGCGCCCTGAAGGCCTTCCTCAGCTTGGTTTCTTCTTCAGACAGCCTCTGAAAAGATTTGCCTTCAGCCTTTTCCCATTTCTTCTGCCTCCACCTTCAGAAACAGCCCTAACTGGCTCAGTCCCCTGCTCAAAAGCTCATAGGAAGCGCATCCAAAACCCCTACCCCTGGTCAGGGCAGGCCAGGCACACTCCCACCACATCTCCAGTCACCTTCACTCTCTCCTTATATCCTGTGTAAGTCCTGGGGCTGGCAGCCCACACTGCCTGCCTCCTGCCTCGCCCAGCCTGTCCCAGCTCTGGGGGACAACATTTGGGAGGGGGGAGGGGGCGCTGAGGAGAGTCTGTGCCTCATTCAACTGATTTCCTTACAGGGTGAGGGAGATGCTAACAGAAGGGATAAGGAGAGGCAGGAAGGAGAAAAGCAGGCTAAAGACTGAGGACACACTTAAAAACCTCCCAGATATTACCCATGTATGAAACCGTCCCCACAATTCTGAGTCACATACTAGAAATCCAATCACTTTCTGTACACCATTGGCGGGTATTTAGTTGTCATTACACATACTGTTCTTCACACAACTGCCTGTAACTCCAGCATCAGGGGATCTGACACCCTCTTCTGGCTTCTGTGAACACCTGCATACACAGGGGCAGACCCTTCTTCCCCTTCACAGACAAATAATTTTAAAAAAATCTTTAAAAATATGAATGTACTTAACAGGGTGTGTGCACATATAATCCCAGTACTGGGAAAGCAGGGGCAGAAGGAAGGAAGGGAGGGAAGGGGGAAGGGGAAGCAGGGAGGGGGAGGGAGGGAGGGAAGGCATTCACCAGGCATGGTAGTATCTGCTTGCAATCACACACTTGGGAGGCCAAGGCAGGAAGATCACGAGTTTTAGAACCCTTTCTAGACCAAATAGCAAGAACCTCCTCAAAAACAAAAAACAAACCCCCAAACAAGACAACAGCAGCAAACCCCAAAGACTGAGGCTCAGCTGGTAGGTGCCTTCTCAGCATGCACAAAGTCCTAGGTTGGATCCTCAGCACCACATAAAATCGATCATGGTGGTACACACTTGCGATCACATCATTCAGAAGGTAGAGGCAGAAATATCAGAAGTTAGAAGTCATTCTTGGCTATGTAGTGAGTTTGAGGCCAACCTGGGTACATGAAACCTTGCTTCAAAAAACTAAAACTACAAAAAAAAAGAAAACAAAACAAAAACCTCATAAATTTCAGAGCTAAAATTATCAGCCCTTGGAGTGGGGCTTGCTGAAATCAGCCAGAGTCAGCCTTCTCTGCTTGGCAACCCTCCTGCCTACATTGGGCTTGGGGGTAGGAAGCTGCAGACTGGCAGCCTTTGGCAGCTACCAACAGGTGATTCTGGGTAATTTTTGACTCCAGTTTTGACTCTTCGCTTCCCTATAATGAGGCTCTAGGAAGCCAGGCACATGTCTGGGGCATGAAGATGCCGCCGCCGCCGCCCGCAGCTGCGGTTATGAATGGCTCTTATAACAACAAGATGACATCTGTGCTTGGTTTTTAAGATGCATCATCACATGTTTATTAAACTATTGCTCCATCATATTTATTTGGCTACAAAACAACTCCCAGCCCATACTTCCAAAAGTGGTTTATTAAAAACTAAGCCTTGAACATTAATACTCAAAAGCACCCTTGAGAATCAATAATAACGCTGCAGATAAAATGAAAGAGAATCAAAGCAGTAAGTCTTGGTGGAGCTGTGGCTGCCTTTCCACACTTTCTTAAATGTTCAAGCATTGGAGTGGGGAAGGGCACCCAGGATCCAGGGTATGCAGAGATAACTACCGCAAACACTGACTTCCTGTCTAAAATGTGAATACAAACAACATCAGGCATGGTTGCCCACACCTATAATCCCAGCACTCAGGAGGCTGAGGCAAGAGGCCTGAAAGTTCAAAGCTACCCCGGGTTACATAACAAAATGTGTTCTCAAAAAACCAAGGGCTATGGGGCTGGAGAGATGGCTCCAAGGTTAAGAGTGCTGGTTGCTCTTCCAGAAGACCTGGGTTCAATTTTCAGCACCCACAGGTCAGCTCACAACCGTCTGTAACTCCAGTTCCAGAAGATTCAATGCCCTGTTCTTGCTAAGAGCACTGCATGTACATGATGCACAGAAATACCCATGGGCACATAAAATGAAAATAAAATTGGCGGGTCATGGTGGAACATGCCTTAAATCCTGGTACTTGGGAGGAAGAGGCAGGAGGATCTCGGGGTTCAAGATCAGCCTGGTGTACATAGTGAGTTTTAAGACAGACAGAAATACATAGAGAGAAAATGTCTGAAAAACAACAATAAACAAACAAACAAACAAACAAATAAAAATGAAATCTTAAAAAACAAAAACAAGGGCTGGAGAGATGGCTCAGAGGTTAAGAGCACTGGCTGTTCTTCCAGAGGTCCTGAGTTCAATTCCCAGCAACCACATGGTGGCTCACACCCATCTAAAATGAGATCTGGTGCTCTTTCCTGGTGTGCAGGCAGAACACTGTATACATAGTAAACAAATAACTCTTTAAAAACAAAACAAAAAGAAAAAGAAAAAACAAAACTAAACAAACAAATAAAACAAAACAAAACCAAGGGCTATAGAAGCAGCTCATTTGTAGAGCAATTGCCAAGTATGTGTTAAGACATGTTCAGATCCACAATGGCAAAAAAGAAAGCAAACAAGTATGTGAGGTAAGGGAGGGGAGGGTCCAATGGCCACTGAGGTCTAGCTGAAGGGCAATAAGGCCAAGGTGAGGCCTAAGAGGGATGAATACTGTCTCTAAACAATAGCCCACACTCTCAGCATCTGGCCAGGCCCCACTCCCCATCCTGGAGGAACATTCTGCCCTGTCCATGGTACTAGCCCACGGCTTCCCAGCTCAAGATGAGTCTTCCCTTGCTCAAGCAGTCAGCCTCTGAGCAAAAATAAACCTCACTCCATTTGAGGAACCTGGGAAAACTAGGTGAGCCACCGAAGCTGAAGAACTACCGTCTGTAACTCCAGTTCCAGAAGATTCACAGTCTGCTTCTGGTGGAGTGCAGCATGTCTCAGCCCTGTAAGCAGGCCTTCTTAGTCACAAAAAGTCCTAAATAAACCCCAAGCTTCTCCAAGGATGCCCACCCACATCAGGTCCAGGCAGCAAACATTAATACATGGTCACTTCCACAGAGGAACAAGAACAAACTGGAAGATTCACAGGGTCCATGGGCTCCAAGCCATTGCCACCAAACACTCAAAGATGGTTGGGAGCCCTCACCCATAATTAAAATACATAGAGTCTGATCTGGGCCAGGGAGCCTATGATTGCAGTTACAGGGAACCTTTGGGAACCAAGTCCAGGTAGGGAGAAATTTTCTCTAAGACAGAGTCATTACACTCTGCTCAGCCCTTCTGGATAAGACAGCAAGGCCCAGACACTCACCTTCTGACTTCCTGAACATTGTTGGCACGGGCAGCTTCCATCAGAGCTGCATCTGAAAAGAGATGGGGTACTGGTCAGACCCCTGGCCAGGACCTATCCCTGAGAGCTGAGAGAAAGCCCAGCAAGCCAGTGGAAGTTCCTCAGAAAGTGAAAGGCTGGCATGAGACTAACCAAACCTCTTCCCCAGGTAAAATCCACCCCACCTCTGCTCTGGGGATGCAGGTAGATGCTGTGCCATTTTCCCCACTATTCCCAAACACTAAGGCTCAGGTTGGTGGGTCTCCCTAAGAGTGGAAAGAACCTCAATAAGAAGTCATGGACACTGGGATCCAACCTACTCAGCCATTACTCTCCATGTGGCTGCTGTAGCCCTTCCTTCTCAACCAACTTCCCACGGTATTCGGCAGACAATAATTCTTGTCAGCCTCACAAGGATGCTGAGGAGATAAAATAATGGCTGAAAAGTCTCCAAAATCCTTGGTGCAAGACCAGAGAGGGGTTCAGAGCCCTGAGGATGCAGGCCTAGCTGAAGCCTGGCCTGGTTGTTGGCACCACCTTGTGGCCACTTGGAAAAACGCACAAGTCAACAGCAGAGGCACAGTGGGCACTCTTGTGTGCCCAGCCTGATTCTGGGCTAAACTGTTGGCCACTAGGCTGACTCTACCCGGTCCTAGGCATTCAGTAGCCAGGAGACACACTAGGTAAACGTAAGAGAAGTCACTAGAGTCAGAGGCAAGCTGAGTCCAGCTCTAACGATTAGTTGCTGTGTGACCCGTCCAACTCATCTAAACTCCTGAGCCGAAGCTTCTGTGAAGTGGGATGAGACGCCAGCCTCATCATGTGCATAAACCAGTTTTTTCTTTGTTTTTGTTTTTTAGTTTTTGAGATGGGGTTTCTCTTTGTAGCCCTGAATGTCCTGGAACTCACTCTGTAGACTGGCCTCGAACTCACAGAGATCCACCTGCCTCTGCCTCCAGAGTGCTGGGATTAGAGGTGTGTGCCACCATGCCCAGAGATAGTTGTTCTTTTCAGAGCTCGGGGCCTCCACTCCACCTACTATGGAGACTAGCCTATGACTCGGTCTCTGACTAGAGCCAGGTCTGTCCTACTGACCTTACGGATTCTCTCTTTGGTTTTTGTTTGGTTTGTTGGTTGGTTTTTGGATTTTTTTTTTTTAAGATAAGATCTCACTATGTAGCCCTGGCTGCCCTGGAACTCACAGAGATCCATCTGCTTAAGTCTCCAGTGCTAGGGTTAAAGGTGTGTGCCATCATGCCTAGCTCTTATGGATTGTTCTCATTCACACTCCTAACTGTGCCTGGTTAATCTCCAGCTGGGAGAGGAAAAACCATTCCTTATCAATACTTATCTACTCTCCTTCATTCTCCAAGGTCACAGAGGGAGGGAGAAATGAGCTGAGATTTAACCTGGGGCATTGTGGGCTCACAATCTTTCCTTGGCTGTCCACTACCTACAGCAGAATTCATCTTGACTCCTGAAGTGACCCAATGTTTCTCAGAACACTGAACTGAGCGACAATGCTCAAAACCCCAGAGCAGGCTAGTCGGAAGGGTTGGAAGTGGCCACAGTTGGAGTCGTTACCTATTTCATTAAGTAGATATCACTGAAATTCGTGTGCCATAAAATCCAGCTTAGGGCCCCCAGTAACCCCTCAGGCCAGATTTCAGACACATTTCTTCTGTTCTTCCAAACACAATGGCTGCTGGACAGTCTCTACTCATGAACCTTTTTGGCTCTCTACTACCTACAGAATTCCCAACACCCCTGCCTGGCATGCAGGGCCCATGTCATCTTCTCTCACCTCATTCCAAAGACCCTGTCCTTCCACCCTCACTGGCCAAACTGCTAGCCCCTCCACACCAAGCTGGCTGAAGTCTGGGTATGGAATATAATCCAACCCAAGGCACATTTGTTAAAGCAGCCCCCTTCCACGATCCACATACTTGTGGACAGATGCTTAGTATTAGGGAAATACTAATAAAATACAGGCAAGATGCAGGCCTGGCCATCCTGGGATACACAAGATCACACATCCCCACACAAACACTTACATTTCCTGTGTTATTCTTCAGAATTCAAGTTTAAACTCCCCATCTTCCAAGGACTGCCAGTCCTCCAGGAAGGCTATCCTGACTGACCCCACTAGCTCGCTGATCCTCTGTAGTACTAATTAGCCCTGCATGGCCAACTGCCTGCACAGTCCCCTTAAATAGCTTGGTTTTAAGTTGGGGCTTTCTGAACACCTAGTTCCAAGCTAAACTGAGAGACCACCACCTCCACGAACACCCAAGCTGCAGATCCTATAACCACTTCCTGTTTAAGCTAGCAGGGCTCTACTTCAATACTCTCATTAGTAGAAAGGAAACTGAGGGCCAGCGAAGACCACGGAGTCCAGCTTCACAAAGCGAGCAAGACAGTACAAAACAAGATCCTCGGTGTCCTCATTCCTCATCCAAAGCCCTTTCTTTTCAGGTGGCCACATCCTACTGAACAAACATGAAAGTCAAGGCAGTCTCCAATCTTGTTCAACAATCTTAAGAGTTTGGGGTGCATGGAACCCACGAGCACCATGCTAAATTTAACAAGTTCGTCACCAGCAACTGAGAACCTGAGAGGTTGGCTTCAGCCAGACCACTCCTCCAGCTCCTGCTCAGCTCTCAGCATTTAGGTAAGATGCCAATCTGGGGTTAGCTACCTCCACCTCCTATCCTTATCCCTCCGACTGCTCTAATTCTCCAGAGAGCTACTTTCCTTTCTGCCAACTCCCTGTCCCCCCAGGGCTCCACCCCCCCCCCCCCAATGTCCAGCTCACCTTAAGTATGATACTAAGCAAAGCAAAAACACTAAGGAACTGCTGAACAGACTCGTAACTCCAAGAGAGGTCAAAGCGTCAGTCTTATCAGAGTACTGAGAAATTGCCTTCACTATACAGCAGGGAAACGAAGACTAGAGAGGTGCATGGGAGTCAAGCTAGCACCAGAACCAATTGTCCTCCTTCCTTGGGCCCTTGTATGCAGGTAAACATGTAGAGGTTATCCCTAAAGCTGCTGGGGCTCCCTGGAGACCTCTTGAAAGACTAATGGGCCAGATATAATACTGGTACATAAAAGGACTAGGCTGTAATTAGTCACTCCGATGTTCCCATTATACAGATACACAAACTGATGCCAGAAGAGGGGACTAGACCTACAATGGAAAATTATTTAACTCCAAGCAGTGAGCTTTCCAGAGCAACATGTTGCCCTTGGCAGCAGATTGTACCTTGGCCTCTCCAAGGGTAAGGTTATGCGGGTCTAAATTTACAAACACCTTCAACCCCGCAAGGAGTCAGGACCCACCCCCCACACACCTCTCCCTTGAACCCAGACTGGCCCCATAATCACCCCTTGTTGGAAGGACTCTTGCTGTAGCAATGAACCACCAGCGCCGTGGCCAAGGCCCACATGCCCAGTCCTGTCTTGTTGGGAACCCCATTCCAGCTGTCCTGTCCCGGGAGTGTTTCTTCGAGGCTACTACCGCGTCCCCACGAGGCGGCAGCCAGGCATGAGATCTCGGTGCGTTCTCCACGGCGCCCCCAGGTGGCTGCCCCCCGTCCGGGGAATAAGATAGATGATGCTCCAGGGCGCACCAGGCGGCAGCTCTCAGCCGCTGCGGCTCTCCGCGGTCCTCCGGTGTTTATGCTCCGGCCGTAAGCACTTCCCCGGCTTTGGAGCGATGGAGACTTGAGTAACCCGAGGCAGAGCCGCGGCGCCGGCGCGTTCTCCTTAACACCGCGGACAACATCATGACACCTGCTTCTAAAACCCCCTGGTGCCGGCCCCTGTGCTAGCCACGATCAACATGGCTGCCGCGGCGCGTTCGAAGACGCCGCTTATGGGGTGGGACTGCGCACTACCTCACGGGAGTGGTAGTCCACGGCCCCAGATCTTTCCCTAACTGGAGAATGAACAAACTACATTTCCCTGAGGGCTGTAGGATGACGTCACAATGACCGCTGTCTTAGCGGCGTTAGGAGAATGTTGGGAAATGAAGTTCTAGTAGAGGGGCGTGGCAGAAAGGAAAACTCTCTGGTGGGGCGTGGCCATTAGAATTCAAGATTCCAGAGCCTGATGTCTGTGTTGACCACAGCTTTAATCCCTGCTTTTGGAAGCGGGAATTTGGGAGATCAGAGTTCAAGGTCACCTTGGTCTAGGTCAGCCCCGGGTGTGTAAAATATCAAAACAAGACATATAGGAATCCTAGAACCAGTTCTTTAGTTGAAACACCACGACGCAATTTCTCACTAGTGTTTAAATAAAATTGTATCTTTGGCCAGGCAGTGATGGCTCATGCCTTTAATCCAGCACTTAAGAGGCGGAGGCAGGCAGGTCTCTGTGACTTTGAGGCCAGCCTGGTCTACAAAATGAGTTCCAGGACAGCTAGGACTATTAAATAGAGAAACCCTGTTTTGAAAAACAAAAGCAAATAAACAAACTGTATCTTTGATGGAGACTTGTTAAGTACTTATACCCCTCCCCACCTTTGCTTCAGGTTGGTAAGGCTTCTCAAAAAAGATGCCTAGAGCTCGGCGTAGTGACTCAAGCAGACCTCTGTGAGTTCGAGGTGAGTCTGGTCTACATAGTTGCAGGACAGCCAGGGCTAGGTAGAGAGATCTTCTCTCAAAAGAATATATATGTTCTTGTTTCTATATATATATATATATATATATATGCCATTCGGTGGTGGCGCATGCCTTTAATCTCAGCACTCGGGAGCAGAGCCAGGCAGATCTCTGTGAGTTCAAGGCCAGCCCCAGGCTACAGAGTGAGTTCCAGGATAGGCTCCAAAACTACACAGAGAAACTCTGTCTCGAAAAACAAGTGTGTTTTACTAGTTGAGCCATCTTGGTTATGTGTTGCAAAATAGTAAATCTGTGAATTATACTACAATATATTTATGTTTATATTTATTTCTTCTGTAGTTGGTAGACAATTAGCTATTTACATATTTGTGTCTGGCTTGTTGTGTCTTGCAGAATTACAGAAGTAGGTTTGGGATCTCCTGAGGTGCTGTTTTTCCCTGGTTTTAAAGCTGTACTTTCTTTCTTTTCCTCAAGACAGAGTTTCTCTGTGTAGCTTTGCGCCTTTCCTGGAACTCACTCTGTAGCCCAGGCAGGCCTCGAACTCACAGAGATCTGCCTGCCTCTGCCTTCTGAGTGCTGGGAATAAAGGTGTGCGCCACCACCACCCGGCCAAAAGCTGTATTTTCTATTGAGTTGTTCCTGATCTAGAGGCTACAGAGAAAGCCTTGTAGGTAGGATGCTCCCTGTTCTTACGCTAGAGCCTCCTTGGGCTGGATTAAGGGAACAGTCCTGACTTTTGTCTGGGTGACCAGTGCTCCTGACAGACCTGGCCACTTTGCTGGTTGGTGTCCCCTGGTGCCTAGCTGGCTTCTTTGAATCTTTGCAGTAGGCTTTTGGAGTTTCCATCAATCTGATGGTTGAGAACAGAGAACAGGTGTGTTAGCTCTTGGTTTGTATCTGTCCCACCCAAGGGTCATGTCTACATTTACTTGTACCTGGAGCACACTAGCTAGCATCCATTTTTTCAAAGAGAGGCCAGTGCATGACACGTGCCCTACTCTTTGCTTTTTCCTTCTCCACTTCTGAACTCCTCATAGGAACTGAATTAGTGCGTGTTAAAGCTTGCACGTGTTTCTTCCCGATTTGCCGCTTTAACACTGCCTCTACTTACAAGAAATCTTGGACAATATTTAGGGAGCGTTTCCCCAAGCCCAGATTGTAAAGTAATCACACACTTTTCTCTTCTCATACTTGCACGACTTCATGTTTTATTTCTGGTCACTGATCTACTTGGAGTTTGCCCTGCAGTGCACCATGTCAAACAAGGACCCTCAGCAAAGCCTGTGTTGCCTCTGGCTGGGCAGTGCTGTGTTACTTAAAGTCCTTCATGGTGTGGATGTGTTGGTGATCTTCTAGCCTCTTCCACCTTTGGTTTCCTTTTGTATTAGTGCTACACTACTAGGTATGAACTCTTCTGTGTGTGTGTGTGTGTGTGTGTGTGTGTGTGTAAGATTTCATTTCTGTGTATGGTGTTTGCCTGTGTGTGTCTATATGTGTGCCATGTGTATGCAGGAGCCCAAGGAAGCCAATCTGTGGAACCCCCTGTAGCTACAGTTACAGGTGGTTGTAAGCTGCCATCTGGGTGCTGGTAACCACATCCTGCCTGGTCCTCTGCAAGACAGCAAATGCTCTTAAACACTGAGTCATCGATTCAGCTCCTTTTAATGTTACATGGCAGTTTTGTTTGTTTTTTTATTTTTGTTTGTGGTGGTGGGGATTAGACCCAGGACTTTATGCACGCTAGGGAACACTCTACCACTGAGCTACATGCTCATCCCACTTCAGAGTTTTTAACATGTGCTGGAAAGAATCCCACACCCCTGCCATTGCTAATGGTTTCCAGGGCTCTCCTGACTCTTCCTATTTATGTTTTTTTTTTTCCATTGGGAGAGTAAATTTACCTGTGGCCCAGAGGAAGGGAGAGGCCTCAGCTCTCCAGAGGCTACCTTTCACTGTTGTCTGAGTCTTCTCTCTCTAAGGAATATTGATTTCCTCAACTTTGTTTTATGTTTTGTTCCCCCAGGAATGAATTCTTGTGTTTTCCTGGTCCCTTGCCTTGGGTTTACCAGAGCTGTGGTCTGCAGTGGAGACAGCCTGCCTCTTTCTTTCTGGTTATTGTTTGTGTGTGTGTGGGGGGGGGGGGCTCCCACGGGATGTTAAATGGGATGCGTGGTTACCTAGTCTCATTCCTAAATGTGGTGGGAATGCCAAACTCTATGCCACAGTTTGTCCCTACAGGTGAGGGAATAGAGCACTTCCTCCTGTGTGTGTGTGTGGTGTGTGTGTGTGTGTGTGTGTGTGTGTGTGTGTGTAGTCATGGGATTTTCCCTTTGGAAACTTTTGAAGTATGCCCATGTAGAGCTTGGGTCTCAGGGAACAGTTACATTTTTTCTGTTGAACGAATCTGCAGAGGTTTCTTGTACTTACTTACTTAATTTTTCTAGGTCATGGATGTAGGTTGCCCCAAAACAGCTTGACCACACAGTTGCCATGATAGGCTTACTGGCAGGCAACACCCAGATCCAGGAAAAGCCATAAGCTGATCTCAACCAGGGAGGGCCAGCATCTAAGAAGAAGTACCTGACATTCCAAACACTCCAACTGTTAGATAAGATTAGATAAGATAGCCAGATGTCCCTGAGCCTACCACTCACCTATCTCTCTTTTGCCAAGATACCCCTAGATAAATGTCAGCTAATCAGGGTCCTGAACCTCATCTTCAACCTTTACTATGATTAAACAGAACAACACAAAACAAAAAACCCAACCCTGCCTGGGCTCGGTGCTCTCTGCTCTCACTGCTGCATAGGACAGATGGAGAGTCCAAGCTCGAGCTTGAATAAAGGCTCGAGCTTGAATAAAGGCTCTTTGCTTTTACATACAGACTCGATGTCTCCATGGTGCTCTTTGAGGCATAACAATGGATGCCTATCTTTTCATTTAGGGTCCTAAATGAGTACTTGGGTCTGAACAACAGCAGTTGCTCTCATGTTCTCTTTATATGCTCAGGAAGAGAAAAGCCATCATCTCTATCCCTGGAACTGCCCCTGAGCTCCAGGACCTCTGCACTCCTGCCTGGGCTCTTCCTGAATCTGCCATTGGCTAGTTGGTGTACTCTACATCTCCTGACCTCAGGGGCTGGGCTCAACAGTGGCTGCCATGTCCTTCAGTGCATCATCTGTTCCACTGAGGTTCTGCTGTGTGAAGAGCAGATACAGTGTGCTATTCTTGCCTCACCTTAGTCTGTATTGTGCAATAGAAGGTCACGATCCTTATTATTTTTTAAATTAACTTCATAATTCAAAAGTTACACACAATAAAATGAGCCTAGAGCTGGAGAGATGGCTCAGCAGTTGAGGGCCCTGGCTGCTCTTCCAGAGGACCTGAGTTCAATTCCCAGCAACCACATGGTGGCTCACAACCATCCATAATGAGATCTGGTGCCCTCTTCTGGCCTGCAGGCAAACATGCAGGCAGAACACTGTACACACAATAAACAAATAAATCTCTAAAAAGTAAAATAAAATAAATTGAGCCCATTTCAGAAGTGCCTTTGGATAGTTTTAGACAAGCCCAGAAGCTTTGTGACATCCACCAAAATCAGTAAGCATTTGCACGACCCTGGAAGAAACCTGTCCCCTTCCCAAGTGTCCTCCCACATGCCAGCTAGCCGGACCTCTGATGCTTTAGGTGAGCGCAGCCTGCTCAGAGAGAGCTGAATCTTCGAAGAGGTGCACAGTATGCATTCTTCAGCCTGGACTCTGCCACCTAACAGAGCAGGGTCCCCAGGTCCAGCCGATGCCACAGGGGGCAGGTCCTTCTCCTCTCGTTGCCTAGTTGCTGTTTGCCCCTACAGGTGAGGGAACAGAGCACTTGTCCCTGTGTCCTGGTTTGTCTGATGTAAACTCTTCTGAGCGGGTCTTGGTTTAGACCAATGTTTCCATTCTCTTGGAAAAATATACTAGAGAAAAAAACTGCTGGATTGTGGCAGTGTGGGACGCTTCCTTTTAATACTTTAAGCCGTTGGGGCTGGGTGTGGTGGCGCACGCCTTTAATGTCAGCACTCAGGAGGCAGAGGCAGGCAGAACTTTGTGAGTAAAAGGCTAGCCTGGTCTATAAAGTGAGTTCCAGGCTGGCCAGAGCTACATGATGAGACATTGTCTCA